CTCCTCAGAGTGACCTTGGCTTTCTCCTGAGGTTCTTTGCCAGATGCTCCAGGAGAGGCCCTGCTCCCCAGCTGCTGTGTTTTGCATGGTTGGTCCGGTCCAAACAGGCCTAAGAGCTGTTTCCTGTTTGATCTGCTCAAAAGCTTCTTGTTGCTCATGGCCCCATTCAAAATGGTTCTTCCTCCAGGTTACTTGATAGAGGGAGCCCACAAGGACTAGAAAATGCATTCTCCATAACCCCACAAGGCCTGGGAAAGTTTGTGTTTCCTTTTTGTTAGCCGGTGGAGACATCAGGATATTACCATGTCCATCCTGCCATTTTGTTCCCAAGAACTTGATCTCCCATGCAGGCCCCTTTACCTTATTTTTTGTTTTTTTTTATGGCAAGACCAGCTTTCAGAAGAATTTGGATTATTTTCTTTTCTTTCTCAAAAACTTCTGCTGCATTACCCCAGACAATAATGTCATCAATATGTTGCAGGTGTTCTGGAGCTCCTCCCTGTCCCAGCACAGTCTGGATCAGCCCATGGCAGGTGGTTSGGCTGTGTTCCCACCCCTGGGGCAGGCGATTCCAGCTACGCTGGCCACCACTCCACAAGGAACAAACTGTGGTTTGCACTCTGCTGCCAGAGAAACTGAGAAAAATGCATTAGTGACATAAATTGTGGCACCACTTGGCTGCCTTTAGCTCATGTTTGAGTTTCAACATGTACAGCATGGCAGCATGACTTCATTCAGGTCATGACAATCCACTGTCAGACTCTGCTCCCCGTCAGACTTTCACACTGGCTACATGGGGCTGGTAGAAACATCTTCAGTAATCAACATTTCGATGGTAGTAAAATGTTGTAATTGCCAGCCATTATAGAATCAACCATAAACATGCAAGGTTGGTAAAATATAGCAACAAACAGGTACTAAAAAAATTATTATTTATTTGGTGTCTTTTATAGYTAAAACACACTTCATTTTCATTTCATGAAAATGCCTGTGAGTGTCTTTCTTTAGTGGTGGCTGAGCAAGCAATGAWGACATTGCAATGAAAACTGTTTTTCACAATTGAAAGCTGAAATTAATGTTATAATGAATTATAACTGTTCAGCAATTGGATTATTAATGTTCACCAATACAGCCATTACTCATTTATATTAATGAGTACTGTGCATTTCCTTATCTCTTCTTTTTTATCTCCAACATTTTAAATTTAACAGTATCCTTCTTACGCAGGTATAAAAGAAGTATCAACTTTCTGTCATTCCTGCACTATATTGTTGTTGAGGTACATTCATTTCTTTGGGATTTTTTACTTTTCTTTAGTTTTTCTTTAAAATACCTTGAAGAGCTCAGTCCGTTACACCATCAAAGATTAACTACTCATTCCTGATACCCTTTTGAACCTCCATGAGCATTTCAAACTAAAGCACTTTAGCTGCTTGCTGCAAACACTGATCATTTGATTGCAGTCTTAGGTGAATTAGTAATCCAATTAGAAAACATAGAACTGCTGCTGCCAAATTACTCATGCAATTCACATTTTATTATTGGCTGCAGAACAAGATGTTTCTGTCTCACACTTTGGATACTACTCAAGGSAAAGCTGTAAAAGCTCTGCTAATGTAATGATCACAGAATCACAGACTGGGTAAGGCTGGAAGGGACAACAGTGGGGTCATCTGGTCCAACATCYCTGCTCAGRCAGGGTCATCCCAGAGCACAGGGCACAGGATTGTGTTCTGATGGTTCTTGGATATCTCCAATGAGGGAGRCTCCACACCCTCTCTGGGCAATCTGTTCCAGTGCACASTGAAGAAGCTCTTCTTCATGYTCAGGTGGARCTTCCTGTGCATCAGTTTCTGTCCATTGCCTCCTGTSTGATTCCTRGGGATCACCRAGCAGAGCCTGGTCCATCCTCTGACCCTCCAACCCCTYTCATCTGTCTGTTCTTGAGTCTGAACAGGCCCAGCTCCCTCAGTCCTTCCTCATAARAGAGATGCTCCAGTCCTTTAATCACCTCTTTTGCCATCGCYRGACCTGCCCCAAAATGATGACCATYACTTTTTAAAGAAAYRTAAAAGTAGGTCACTTGGGCCATGGAGTTTTGYGCATATGTGGATCAACTGTGTACAAGTGGTTTCTCTGGGAGATTCAGGAGATATGCAAGGAAAACTTAGATGGGCTTGGGATGAGGGGGAGTGAAACCAAATAGTTTGGCTGCAAAGTAGCCATGCAGCAATGTTTTATGTATGCAATTCAACTTTTTTTTAATCTTAGCCGGTAGTTTGATTTTCAGCCTTGATGTGGTCAAAGGACCAGGTCTATCTTTCATTGACAATAAATGAAAAATTGGTGTTGGACTGAAAGGTGTCTGGATACTCTTCCAATGTCCTCACTAAATTGAAAAATTCTTGTAATTCACAACTAAAKTTGCTATCCATTACGTAATATGTAAGGAAGCTCAAAGACATCAACACATACATATTCATAGACTACAGCTGTTTCCTCTGTTTTGAAACTGAATTAGGGAAACAGTTGTTTTAAACAACAGCACTACAATTATGCTAAGGGATTTATTGACTTTTATTGAGTATTAGATACCACATAGTTTATGTAATAATGTCATAAAAGAAGCCTGCTTTAAAACGTATCAGCTGTCTTCAAACAAACCTCAAACGCAACACTGTATTTATTACGGTATCAGAGCTTTGCAAGGCTACTCCATATTCACTGATGTTTATAAAACAATAAAAATGGGGGAGAACATTTTGAAACGGTCAGAGAATAAAGGGTATTTGTCACAAAAACAGAGACTGTAATGTCAGGCAACTGAAACTGGTTTCAAACTGTTTTAGAGAAATCAGGATGTTACTCACAGTGTTACATTTAATATCTGTGAGTAGTGGCTCCAACCTGGCTTGCTGCTTGTCTCGTTTAGACAACTAGTAACATCTAGCAACTGCACTATTTGCCAGCATTCTGCTGAAACCATATGGCATGATGAGAACGTTGGAGCCTGCCTGCCCTTATGCACAGATAATAGRAAAATGAGACAAATAGCTGGAACGAAACACTTCAATAAAGGGAGCAGACTGCCTGTAGCTGATGATTGGAAGGRCAATCTTTGGACTAAAGCTGCATCTGACATGAGTTAAGATGATAAAATGCATTTGTATTTTTGGCTGATAACAAAAAAAAAATTGAAACTTTCCTCTAGGTTTCAGAAAATAATGAGGAGGATAATTATCACCAGCTGTACTTAAAGGACAAAGGGCAAATGTAGGTCTATGGAATATCTCAGTTCTGACTGTTGTTGGCAGAAACCTTAATAAATTGCCTGCTAATGCCAACATGTTCTGCTTTGCAGGCAGTGACTCAATACACATATCTATGKAAGACTGACTGTTCACTGTCTTATCACTTTCATTATGTTTGGCCCCAAGAGTTAAAAGGCATAAGGTGTATTTGAGAAATCACATAAACCAATAAGGACTTAAGTTTACTCTTTTAACTTATTCAGTTGCACCCACATGCGATAGCCTGTCCAATTTTTGCAAATTAACACCTTTTGGATACTGCTGAAAACTGAGAGACGTGTAGACATCTCACTTCTTCAGTTTCACATTTCTAGAGATTATTTTCAAGGAACACAAGTGAATTACTATCAGTGAAAGGAAAGCTTCAAGTAGTTTTAAAGCATAAGAAAATAAAATGCTAGTTTTTAACAGATGCAACATAAGCAGACTTGAAGTCAGTGAAATATATAAACTCAAATGGATTGCCATATCCTCCTTCAGAAGGAGGACAACAGGAAATGGGCTTTTAGGGCTATAGGATCAATGGGCCAAGACCAATTGTACAAGGCTCAGCAAGGCAAAGTGCCAGGTCCTGCATGGGTCTCAACAGCTCCATGCAGCAATTGCAGGCTGGGGGAAGAGTGCCTGGAAAGAGTATGGTGGAAAAGACTKGGGATACTGGACAGCAGTGGCTGAACATGAGCCGTGTGTGCCTAGCTGGGCAAGAAGGACAATGGCATCTGGCCTGTGTCAGCAATAGTGGGAGAGCACTGACTGTCTCCCTGTACCCWGCACTGGTGAGGCCACACCTCGAATCCTGTGCTCGCTTTTGGGCCCCTCCTGACACGAAAGACACTGAAGGGCCAGAGTATGTCCAGAGAAGGACAACAGCACTGGGGAACGGTCTGGAGCACAAGTCTGATAAGGAGCAGCTGAGGGACMTGTGAGTTTTTAGCATGGAAAAAAGGAGACTCAGGGGGACATTCTTGCTCTCAACAACTGTCTGAAAGTAGGTTGTATCCAGGTAAGGATCAGTTACTTTTTCCAGGCAAAAAGCATCAGGACAAGGGGAAATGGCCTGAAGTTGCACCACGGGAGGTCCAGGCTGGACATGAGGAAGAATTTCTTCACTGAAAGGGTAGTTAAGCATTGGAACAGGCTGCCCAGSGAGGTKGAGGTGTTCAACCCACTGGACATGGTACWCYATRCCATGGTCTGGTTAACAAGGCTGGTTTTGATGATCTTGGAAGTGTTTTCCAATCTTAACAATTTTGTGATTCGATAAGCAGACTTCAGATTTCCTCTTGCCTGTCTGAAAAATCAAAGGCATCAGATTTGCAAGCTGGCAGTATTATTTCAAGGAAAACAGACTAAGAGATTTTGCTGCCTTGGGTTTCACTGATTTTCACCGGCGTTYGGCATCACAGCCGATGTAGGCACGTTTAAACTCAGGTCTCAGGGGAGCTGCCCAGCACCGCTTGCCCTCCTTTGCCCCGTCAGTCCATGGCTGAGGGGAGCCCAGCACGGTCCCAGCACGGAGCCATCGGACACGGGCACCAACTCCCGCCCGCGGTATCGAGCCGCCCTCACGGCTCGRGCCGGGCACGTGACACAGGCAGCACCGCCCCCAGCCCCAGGGAGCCACGCGCAAGGGCCTCTGGGAGTTGTGGTCCGCCTCTGTTGTCACCACCCCCCCAGTCTGTTCCAGGCAGTTCTCCGCTGATCCCGTGCTCCGGGGCTATTCCTCCGTGCCGTGTCGGGGCGCTTCTTCACCCGCCGCGATTTCTCGACGTCCCCTCTGTGTGGGAGAGATGGGCGGAAAAGGGCACGGCACGACCCCCGACAGAACTACGGCTCCCGGCGTGCACTGCGCTCTGGAGAACTCAACGGGGCGGCGGGCCGAACATGGCGGTTGGTAAACGGAGTCGGAGGAGAGGCTGAGGTGAGTCTGGGGCAGCCGAGCAGCGCTCCTACAATGCGTGTTCCTCTCGCAGCCGCTTCCTCTTCGCGTTCTGTCGCTTCTTTCCTTCTCTTCACGTTTGGGAGCGAGGAGGACGCGCCAGTAGGGCCGGCGGTGAGAGGGTGGTGGGAGGCGCGGGCCGCCCGGCTGGCACGGGAGGAGAGCCTCGGGACATCGCCTCAGCCCGGACCCGCTGTGGCAGCTCCTCGGTGTGACCCTGTGGGCGCTGCGGTGCACGGYCCCGACGGTAGGACTGTCAGGCTGGCTCTCCTATCTCCGACGGGGCTGCTCGCCACGGGAGCTGTGGGGACAGCGGGGCTGGGGACAGCGAGCGGATCTTCCGCTTTTACCGGGTAGGGCTTCACTTTGGGATTTCCCTGTGCAGGGTTTCCTCAAATGGACCTTAAGACAGGGAGATGTTAACCGAACACAATGCAAATTCACAACAGGACAACATTGTGATCTTTCGTAGCTTCGTCTTTAAAGTTAATTGTGCATCATGAAGCCACGCTTTAGGTAATTGAGATGTGGGTTCAGAAATCCTGTTATTGAAAACTGTCTACAACGTTTCTTTTTAAATACATGTAGAAAATATCCCGTGGTCCTTTGAGCTGAGATGCAAGGGAGAAAAGGTCCTGGCGTGGATTGTCTCTATGCTGTTATAGAACTTGCAGGAAAGCCTGTATCGTTGAATCAAGAGTTTTAGTTCCTATATCGAAATCCAGTTTGCTAGCCCAGATGTTATAATTTGTAAAGGTACATCAATGTTTGCTGTGCAAATTGAGTAGGTAAAATAAACCCAGAGTTAATAGCCAAGGCTTTGGGATTTTGTAGGTAGTTACTTCTGAAACATGTGTAATTCATTCTAAATAATTTGAAATATTTTCTCAAGTAACTTCAGGGCATCTTGCTGGAAGACTTGGCGTGGAGGCTCTTAAACATATGGTAAAATTTCTCTGAGAAATTTGTGGTTTGGAGTTGAAATATTGATTGTAGTGCCCTGATAGGCCTAAAGGCTAGTCCATAAGTTTTGTTTAAGCCTTTTAATATTTGTCTAAAAAAGGGCTGCTAGAAYTTCTGATTCAGGAAAAACCTCACAAAAAATGGAATTAGAATACAGATCGTGATTAAACAACTGCTTTAAATATTGCAAATGTTTGTGGTTCATGGTGGACAGTAACCTCTCTTTACTTCTCATCCAAACTTGTGCAGTAGAAAAGAATGAAAAAAAAAATATATTACATGCAGGTTAAAGGAAAATATTAATCAGAGTTGGCAATTGAAGTTCGAGTATAATGAAAGGGGATTGCATTTCTAATTATGTAATCTAAATTATAAGTAGTATGAGTTAGGAGCAGCTTTGGTTGGTATCAGTGACTTTACTTCCTCAGTAGGTTGAGCAGTCTAATCTTAGTAAAATCACCCTGCAATTTTTAAACAACTTTGAAGATACTTCGGGGTTTTTTTAAGTAAAAACAAATCATGTTTCCTGTAGTCACATTCTCTCTTAGGTAAGAGAACAGAGTAGTCTCATTAATTCAGCCAGCCTCATATATGGCATTGCTTCTACACCTGAGAAGGCTAATACCGACTAAAGTCAGGTGCTTTCCCAGAATTCCACTGTGGTATGTAAATCYGTTTTATGTTGCATTTTTTGGGTTCTGGGAATCATAGTAGGAGCTTAACTGTATTCAGGAAAGAGCATGTGATTTATTAATCTTGCATTGCACTGGCCATTTGCTTGCTTTCAAAGCTGAAGGCATTGATTAATTTTTCAAAGAGGAAATATGAGTGGGGAACTAAGTGATGTAAAAGCGTAATATGCAGTGGATTTTTAATTTTTCAGTTCATGCCTACGTAATTTGAGCTGTATGGCTGTCAAAGGTGTTTAAGCCTCTACTCCCCTTTGGCTTAAGTTGGAGGAATGAATAGGAGCCCAGCTGGCAATTTTATTTTGAAAACTCAAAATCAAGTTAAACATTTATGTTGTTACATAATGGAATAACATAATAGAGGGCCTATTGGAAGAAAATTCAAAACCTCAAGTATGCCAAATTTGGTTTCTTTATCTGTAGCACAAGGTTATATACATTTTTCTATTTAACGTCTTTTAAAGAGGGCTGTTGTTTTAAGACCGACAGGAAAGTCATCTCTGCTTTTCTATTTGGCTTTCAATGCCATTTCTGCAATCTTGTGATAATAAATATTTGTGCTTGTAAACAATCCTTTTATTTGAGATCCCAGTTGATTAAAGAAAAATGGAACAAACTATTCTTATTCTTGTTCTGATGAACAATGAATTGACATTGCGTTTCCTAGCCTCTCTAATCCAAATAGTGTAGAAGCTTCTCAAAATGAAAGCTTTTGTTYAGAAGAAAAACCTTTATGTTATCTGCCCTTTAAGCTACATTCACTGTCTTTCCATTTTGATTATAATTGCATTTAGAACTATAGTTATATCTTTCAGAAAAACACAATAACTTTTRGTCCTCCACAGAAAGTTAGATATGATTTTATTTGCCTTCTTAATATTTAAGAATCTGTTGCTTTGGTGATGAAAACATTACATAGTGTTTAATATCCTTAAGTTGCTTCTGATGATCTGTCAAATGTCACAAATTGACATGGAATATGTTAAACAGTGTTAGACTAGGAAACTGAATGGTATCATACGATTTTCCATATCTCTCTTTTAATTAGCTAMGTTCTACTTCATGAAATTCTGTGGGTTTTTTTTCCCCTTTTTTGTTATGTGAAATTTTAGTTCAGTGACAAAAGCTGAGCAGGCTCATGATGGGAAGCTTCTTGGTTTGGTTTAGTTCTGTTCTGCTGTAACAGATGACAGCATCTGTGGATGAAAMTTTGTCCTGGACCAAGTGAAACAGTGATTGAAGACTTTATGGGGAGGAAATAGTGTACTCTGTTCTGCATGTAGAGGTCAGGCCACCTACATAGTGAATATTTGGTCCTGTTACAGATCATGAAATAATTAAAAATCCAGTGAACTRTTTAAAAACAGAACAAGATATCTTCTATATGTCTTAGTTCATTATACAACTTTCCTAGTAATTTCTGCAAAAAAGTCTTCTAAAGATCTTCTAAAAATGAATTGACTTTACAGGCAACAGCAGTGGTTATGTTCTAGGAAAATGTATTGAATTCCTTATTKCCAGTGATGGTCAGTAAAACACACTCTACTCTCAGGCTCTTGGCTCCCTGAAACTCTGACCAGGTTATCTGCACTTTTTATTTTCYAATGTCAGTAAACCTGTCTCCTGCAACGCTTCAGCTACGTTCTTAACTGCATTCTGAGTTAGAGATTTTGCTTTTCCATGTGACTGTTGGACGTGACAATCCGCARCATGTTTCCTTTTATAAAATTATGTTGCTTCTTGCTCCTTCCTTGGAGAGGGGCATATAGCTTTCTCATAGATGGGATGTTTTAAGTAACATACTTTGAAGTACTATTTCTAATCCCAGTTGCTGTCAGGAAATTGGAATCTTTGATTGAAATACACTTAAAATGAGAACAAAGTTTATTTTTAGCAACTATGAGCATTGCTTTAATGTGTGGTCATTAAAACATATGTTGACCAAATTGAATGCTTATTCTCACAGTATCAATCTCTGGAATTGCAATTTTTTTGGTGTGCATATACGTACAATTATTAGCTGAATATCTTTTATTTAAATTTTTATTTTATTTTTGAAAATAACAACACAGCATCTTTACCTGGGATTTTGTTCTTATTTGTGGAAAGGTGCATTTGTGGGGAATTTGCATTTGGCAATTAGTGAAACCCAAATGCACTGCTTTAATACAGAAAAATCTTCAGTTGATTTGCATTGCAGTGCTAATTAATGAAACAGTACTTTTATGCCCAAAATAGATTATYGTAACTTCACACGAATTAATTTTATGAATATGCTTCCTTTCACAAAAAATCCATCAAGCAGCTATCATATATAGGAGTTTACACTCTGATCTAAAACCTGCCTTTTTTCATACTGGGAGAAAAATGCCCTGGAAAGTGCCACACGTTTTTCAGTTGTTTTTCATAGTAGTGAACAGAAACCTCCCACAGGCATTTCAATAGGGAAGTGCTGTGGTTTACRTCTGAAGTGGAAGTATCCTGTGAGGCTGTGCAGGATTTAGCATCCTAAACAGTGGCAGTTGGAAAAGTCCCAGTACACACAAAAAAATGTTTACTCCAACATCAAAAGCAAGAACAGAATGACTGCATTTCAAGAAGTGGGAAACCCTACCATCTAGTCTGGTCAGATAAGAGGATATCTGGGTTTCTGTGGTAACAGCCTCTTTGGTATTGGAGCTGAAGGATGTGACTTTGGCTCATTCTGCATTAATTACTGAGCATATTTGGATGTAAATTGCCTAAAGCTATTGTCTTGACTTTGTTTATTTGTTTTCTTTATAGTTTTTTGTGTTTTTGCAAAATTGAAGACAGATCCCTGATTAACAATGCCTGCCAGTAAGTATTCTTAAGTACATTAAGACAATATTTAGTGGTATTTACTGTTAAGATACTTTCTTTGGGGTTTAAAAATCTAAAAAAAAATGAATTGGAAAGAGAAATGTTATACTTGTTGTAATTTTTAACGATTTTAAAACCTTAATATTATCTGGTCTCTGCTTCTGTAAATCTCCATATATTTTTCAAATAATAATATGGGCTCTGCATTTGTCTTTTTGATTAGAAATTCACAGTATAACAGAATTTGTGATTTAGACCATGTTCTGAAATAGTTATATTCAAAAAATGAAAAAGGTATTTTGATACAGCTATAATCGTATCTTTGGAAAATTAGAACTAATGTTTACAGAAGATCGAATCACTATTTAGGGTAAAAAGTGAGAAGCTTAAAATTTTTAGCATTTGAAGTTAAGTGAGATTTTTGAGGCAGATTTTTCCAAGAATCAAATTATTTACCTTCAGGTATCCTTCTATCACAAMGGATCAAGTTATATGTTACAAAAGCATAAATGTAACTATTTMTTTATTTATTTTTTTCCATTTTCTATTTAGAAAAAAAAATGTGATCTCTAATAAGATTGGTAACATCAGTCTTTGGATAAAGYCATCTGCTTTATCCAGGGGATAAAGAAGTATTCATAAAATTACAGTACCAGTCATACCGAGAGCATTTTAATTATATAGGTTTGTAATGAATTTCATGGATGCTTAATTTCATGAGGGAGTCTTTGAGCATTTGTTCTTTGCTATGATTTGTAATAAGCTGTGACTGTGGGTACTAGAAGTGCCTTTCAGTAGTTCTGTGTTGTGTTGCTTGAACCACTGTCATGTAAAATACCTTAGTGTAAGTAAGAYATGTCACATTTGTCATGTGAAGGGGTGTGTGGGCTTTTTTTTAACCAATTAAACTGGAAAAATAAGATTTTTTTTTYYTTTKKAMCMKKT